TCAGCTCTAAAGGTAAAGGTCAAGTTGTTTACATCTAATGAACAACAGCCAAGTCAGTTATTAGCCCTTGCAAGACGCAAGAAGTGTTGTTTCTTTGGGGACTTTGCTATTGGTAGCCTGTGCAAGCCCAAAAGCCAGCTATCTAAAAAGCAAAACAAAAAACGAAAACCATGGCCGTGAGGTCTTCTGTGCCTCCTCAGCAAGACACCTAGCCTCACTGACTCACTCCTCCCTCCACCTGGAGAAGAAACATATGCTTCAAGGCCTTTCATGCCCAGCAGTGTTAAGGTAGCTAGGGTGACTCTGAGGGGGTGCGTCTTGCACACACTGAACTTCATTCACTCTGGGAGAAGGGACAAAGGACCAGCAGCTGCCATTATCAGCTGCCGTCTCCCTCTTCTGCAGTGCTGTAATACATGGGAATCATGGCCAACAGCACTAAGTCTTAATATGTAAACTGCAAGCTGATTTCTGCAACTCAGACCATCGTCATGGCTAACTAATCCTACATAGACAGTCTAGAGTGGAATATACTTGTTCTTGTTCAGCGCTGTTCTGGACTGCACCTTCCTCCCACAAGCCTTTATATATGTCCCCCTATTCAATGTCATATTGAAAAGATGACAACATCCTCCCTCTCTCACCTATCTGTAGCAGTCATTGCTCCCTTAACAGTAATAATTTTCTCTTTCCAGCCTAGATGTTACCTACTCTTGCTAAGCATGACCCCAAGAAGAGGGACTGAACTCTCCAGTCTGGGCTTACAGCTCCCACCTTGCAAAGAGGTGGAAGAACGGGTGCTGTGGATAGGAGAAGCATGGCTGCAGCACGCACACCACGCACAGGCGGCGTAACTCACACCAGCGCTGCTCAGCCTGAAGAGTCCTTCAACAGCAGCCTTTGAAACAAGGCTCAGTGGTTCACGAGCTCTTCTGCAGCATGGACGACAAAACCTGTACAAAGTTTAAGCTGTTTCCCTGTTACATCTCAGATGCAGCTTTCTTTTTAATACAGAGAGCGCGCCATATGACGTTTTCTTCTTCTCCAAGGGCCAACTGGACAGGCTATGTCCATTGCTACTCCAGACAGGCCACAAACTGTTAGATTAAAAAACACCATCACCATGCAATGCTACTTTACCACCAGGTTTTGAGAGCTCAACGGTAATTATTTCCATCTGTGTGATCCACTCACAACCAAAATATGCATAATTACTTCCACACATTAGCACACCAGCTACAATCCACAAGATAAGACCTCACTTTGCAGTTTGCCTACACAATAAAATAACTTAAAGCATAAAATTTAAAGTACAGCAAATTTCCTAGTTTTCAGTGTGGACACACATTTTTTCAGAAATACTAATGCATTACTTGGAGTAGCTTAATTCATTAGATTAAGCAAAGTCATCTAGGAGAGCAAAACATGTGCTCTGAAAGGAAAGCATCCACAGAGTAGCTCTTCCCAGATAACTGCTTGGAAACACCACAAGAACTGACAAGCCACATTAAATCATACCAGACCAGCTAGGCAGACTGGAATGACTTGATTAAATTTAGACATCAATTTTTTTATATTAGAGGTTCAGCCACACCAACAAACATATAGCATTAGTGTAACAGATTTTTAAAAAATTAGCTTTTTTAAGGGACATCCATTGTATATTAGACACTCCTGGAGGTGATCATTAAACAAAGCCTCATTGAAAGCCTTCTCAGAAGACTTCTCAGAAGAAGTGTCACAGGACAAAGATCAGGTTCCAGTTTGATGGACTGGCCAAAAAGGAGCAAGAGGGAAAAAGGGCATTTAACAGCAGGAGAATCAAGAAAAAGGAAAAGATTTTGCAGACAAAGCCTGATGTCATTTTACACACATTAATGTTTTTGTACATTACATCCACTTCAGCAAAAGCAATGCAAATTGGAGGCTCCCAAGGTGGGTTCAGAAACCACACGTGGCTACAGGAAGGCAGTTCAAAGACAGGACTTATCAGAAGATCTTTGGGTTTTGTGTTAGGGTGCTGCTTCTACAGAACTGCAGTTGTGTTAGCTTGGGTTTAACAACAAAACCATGCCTCCTGCGGCAAAAGCATGGGCTGTCAGTGAAAGACACGCTCAAACACTTAGCTACGTGTCCTCACCGATTTCCCAGCCTACTCCTTTGTGCTGGTCCACAGGTTTGCGAGCAGAACAGAGATCTGATCTGAGCAGAGGACGTTCAGTGTCATCAGTTCCCTGATCCAGTCGGATATCAGATCCTTTAAGCCTCCAAGGCAGCATATCTGGCTCAAAGCCAGACTGTTCAAAGCAGCAGACCCACTCTCCCTTCAGCTTCTGCTAGCATATCCCTTTTCGTGGCTATAGCAGCAAAGCAACACTTGCGCTAAGCAAAGATGTTCTACATGGGAGACTAGGAATTTCCCCCTGCCCCAGTATCAAGAAATGCCTGTTAGCCACCCCAAAACTGTGCACTTCCCAGGGAAAACCCTGATTACACTTTGAGTCCATATGGTGGTAGTTCCATATGGGAAGCATCACCATGCTGCTGCCTCCTCCTTCTCAAAGGCAAACCCTTGAGGTTTTCACTCTTTTTATAGAGGAAGCTGAACTCGTGACTTGCGCTCATTTAGGTTCTTATTCACTCACACCAATTGTTTGCTGCTTATATTTGGGTCCTCTGGTCAGACCCACACCAGAATATTTCTGACATCTTATATCAGCTATAAATCCAGGGATGCTATAATATACACTGGTCCAGTAGTCCACCATTTTAGCCAAGAATACTGGGAAAAAAGAAGTTCTTGAAAATGTCCTCCCCACAGTTCAGCCTGTCCACCCATCTATGTCAAGTCTCCTTTGGATTCACTGCAGTGAAAAACTCTTGCTGGGAACTTCTCAAATTCCAGCTTCCCAAAAAACAAGGGCTTCGAAAAGACCTTTGTCACAGCACACTGCTGAGTCAGAGTAACGTGAAGTGGTAAGAGGGGCACAGCAGGCAGTTATCTCAAAATGCAGCAAATGCATATAGACCTCAGTCCTGAGCAGGCCTCAAGTGCAAGCGCAACAAGCCATGGCAACAACAGTATGTGGAGAACGACCTTAACATGCAACGGCCAAAGACAGCTTCATATGGCAGCAAAGGCCTTGGGGGAATTGTCTGAGTCCTGACAATTTTCCAAGTGATGTCAGCTTTGATAACCACTTTATCAGCCAGTCTTTACAGCAGTAGTACCTGAAGTGCTAGTGCCTTGCACAGCTGTAAAGCACTGACTTAGGTTTTGATTTGAGGTACGTGTTAGTCTCATTTCTTTCCACCCCAGGTAGTCTGTCCGTGACCATGCCAGACACGGCCAGCACGTACAAAGCCTGAGTCTCCCCTCGTTCCTGACAGCAGCTCCCATCTAAAGCATAGTGCCTGGACAGTGCTTCTACAGAAGTGCTCCCCACAATTCCTCCCACAGAACAGCCACTTTGGTAGCTCTGGCCACATCCTCTGTCACCCAAAGGTAGCCAGAACAGCCATAGGTACTTAATGACTCTTCTCAACAGCTCAGGTCCATTTGTGATATTCACGGCAACAGAGGAAGAGAGGCAATGATGGTTTCTGGCTTCCCAGCCTGGACGAGCATCTTTATCACTGAAGAAGCCTGAAAGAAGGCACTGGAGCTGGCATGACAGCATGAGTCCCCATGCTGATGGTGAGGGGGTGAGTACACCCCCATGATGTATGAGCAGAGATTTTACAAACAAAGTCTGTGAAACACTGACGAGAATAAACCTGGTCTCTAGGCAAGTGTCCTTACCAGCAAGACAAAGAGTTACCAAAAAACCCCAAGCTAAATCCTCCTCTTTCCAATGTGGAAAAGGCAGGGACCACACCCAACCTTGCCAGAATCCCAGTTGTTGAAGTTGGAAGGGACCTCTGGAGATCATTTGGCCCAACCCCCCTGCTCAAGCAGTATCAGCTAGAGCAGGCTGCCCAGGACCATTGTCCAGTCAAGTTTTCAGTGTCTCCACAGATGGAGACTCCACAACCTCTCTGGGCAACCTGTGCCAGTGTTTGCTCACTCTCGCAGCAGAAAAGTGTCTTCTTGTGTTCGGAAGGAACCTCCTGTGTTTCAGTTTGTGCTCATTACCTCTGGTCCTGTCACTGGACACTACTGTGAAGAGTCCAGCTCCCTCTTCTTCATTCCCTCCCATCAGGTATTTATACACATGAATAGGCCCCCCTTGAGCCTTCTCTTCTCCAGGCTGAACAGTCCCCACCTCTCTCAGCTTCTCCTCATATAAAGATGCTCTGGTCCCTTAATCATCTCTGCCCTCCTCTGACAATTCGAGCCCGCAAACACTGCAGCAAGCCCCACGAGAGCAATGGGTGCCAGAGTAAACCAGCATACCATATTGAGGGGACACAGCACACAGATGGACCAGCTAGCTGCCAAGATAAGTTACACTGTCCTCCTTCCCTTCCCCAGAAATCTGTGTTTTTCCACAGAACGATAATAGCTTCAGAAAAAAAACAAAAGCCCAGGAATTATTCCAATGGCACTATTAGATCACTTGGACAGATATTGATAGGCTCAAGAAAACTGATGCACATTAATTCGGTAGGAACTGTACATTTGAATATTACAAGCTTTAATGTGCAGCCTTCGGTTGAAACTTATCAACCAGAAGACAGGCAGAATGAGAGTTGTGGCACATCTAAAGCCAGCAAACAGCACGTATAACAACCTCAGCATAAGGATTCCCTTGAGGGATCAGCATTAAGGATGTTCAGCAGTATCTTCCAACAGCCAGAGAACTGTTGAAGACACAACAGCAAAATAAAGCAGGAAAATAGGCTATAAACAGAATCACTACTTCAAACAAGTCTCCACTTCCCCCAGTCCCGTTAGGGCCAGACGCTGGTAACCATAATACTTTAAGGTCAACACGTACACATGCATTTGCAAGCCAGAAAGTGTCACGATTACATTGTACCACAGCTGCTAAGCATACCTGTGTTTTTAGGCCCATCTCCATACACTGGTCCTGGAGGCGGAGGTGCATTTTGCCATCCATACTGGGGATAACCCTGATAACCTGGTTGGCCTGGCTGGTACGGCCCAGTAGGTCCAGGTGGATAGCCTGGGTACGGGCCAGGAGGACCACCTGGTTGCTGTGCATAGGGTGGGTAAGGGGCAGTTGGGCCCGGGCCAGGGTAAGGTGGAGGATTTTCGTAATTCATGTGGGATGCAGAATCGGTCCTGCAGAAGGAAAACAAACAGAAACAAACTGGTTTGCTTTTGTCTACTTCATCCATGACCATATAATTCCAATTTCAGACTGTTCTCCAGAGGGCCCTACGTTAAGTGTGAGAAACAGACCTCAAAATACCTGGTCAAGCAGCGAGTTCATTTTTAACCCTACCACAGGGGCAGAGCCTGAGTCGAAGTAATTTCTTTTAAGTGACATGAGTTTAGCTCAGCAGCAGAGTGACTTGCTGCTTTCCAGTCATTCATCAGCTATTTACTCTAAGACATTTAACAGTCTTGCAACTGCAAAGCAAAATCCTGGTTCCGTTCATGATTAAATTGCTTTTAGGAGATACTTAGAAGCAATTACTTCATGGTCCTGTCAATATTAAAAAAGAAAAACATACAGAAATGCAGCCTGTTCCAGATAGCCTCAACAGGAGAAAGAGTGAACACAAATGTCCATTACACTTCTGCTAATTGTTACACGCATCTAGACCAGCACCCTGGAGCAAGACTGTATATGAATAATTTCCTGATGACACTGTAACCCAGCACATCACGTATTCTTCCAGTAATATGCAACTGAATCATTAAGCAGCCACAAGCAATCAGGACCTTGGGCTCAGACTCATTCAAAAAGCAACATTAAAGACACCTCAGAGAGTTGATGTTCATAAAACCTATCTAATGTATTACTCATGGTGCAGCCATCGAAAGACAAGACTGTCTCAATAATGCAACTTTAATTAACCTCTAAGCAGCATGACTAAGCAAACCATTTCTTACATTAGGTTTCTGAAGCTTCTCCCTGTTTGAGAAACAGAAGTGTCCTTAATGCCATGTGTTCAGGAACCATCCTGACTAAAGTTGCTGTACTCTGTTATTTCCTTTTACCATTACAGAGTGCAGAAGGGTCACCATTTCGCCTTTGCTACACACCTCCTCCCACACGCCACAGGCTTCAGGAAAAAATACCAGGAGCATAATTTGCCTCTGCTGAGGCTCACTGCTGCTGGCATGGAGCAAAAGAGGCTGGCAAGCAGGATCCTCTTTGGATGGCTGGAAAAGGGCAAGCAGCCGGCCTAGACTGACCTGAATGCTCAGTACTGTGCACCCACTCTTGGGGACATGCAGATTTTGAGTCCAGAGGAGACCATTAGTGCATCTAGACTGAGCTCTGGCATGACACAGATTAAAGAATTTCACCTTTGTAACTCTATAGCGAGCCCAGAGCAGTCATCTGCCAGGCAGAGGCCAAGTGAGTCAAGCCTCTGGGGCTATGTTTAGCTGCTGCAGTCCCTGACAGTGTTGAAGTGAGCTTTGTTTGTTTATGGCTTGCTATTTCATCACCTCAGAGAGTGCTGACTGTCCCTCCCCAAAGAAGGATCCCTAGGCTCTCTGCTTATTTACATGACTCCTGCCCAAACATCACTAGCACAATGCTCGCTGCTGTAGGGGCACTGTGGGGCTCTCCCACACACAGCCCTGTCCCACTCCCGCAGTAACAGCCATTCTGATGACACACGATGCCCAGGAGACCATTGCCAACTCAAAACGACTCCAGAGGCACAATCCAAGGGAACAGGGCTGATGTCCCTCCCACCACGACACCGAGAAGCCCTTCAGTCTCAGCAGGCTGGGTCTTCCCAGGCCTTGCCAGCCTGCAGTTGTCATTCACCTGAATTCATTCTAACATTCTTGGTGTGCAAGCCAGGCACAGTCCCAGTTGCTAAGTGCTGTTACCTTTCAAATGATATTTCTTAATATCTTTGCCAAGAGTGTTAACTGTTTAAACCAGTGCCAGGGATTAGAAGAATTATTTTTTTCCCATTATTAAGTCAGCCAGACCACTTCTCATTTTAAAACGGACAAGCACAACATACATTTAACTTGAGGCTCTTTAACCACCGTACTGCACTGCAACACCTCTACCAAGTCTGCAGCAAGGCAATTCTCCCTTCAGAGAGCCAGTGAAAGGTAGGCAGCAAGCCCCACAACTCACTTCAATGCAACAAACTAGAGAATCGGGACATAATGGGTCACTAATGTTCATCTAACCCAGAAAATCATCCCAAAATAGCAGCCAAAAGCAAGTTCCCAGGGAAGAACAAGGCCAGAGCAAGCGCGTGCGTATACCTGCATACCATTGCACATGGCAAGGTAACCATTTGGTTCCCCAGCCAGACAGGGCCCAGGCAACCAGCAGACTCCTGCGAACTCCCCTCAATTTTGCACAGCCTCCCTGAGCTGCCGTACAGCTGCAATGCCCGCTCCTGGTGCAAGGGGATCCAAAGCTCTGCTGCATGCCTTGTGGAAAACTGCCTCCTGCCCCACCGGGGTGACTGCAGGAGGTAGGGATCAGCAGTCACCCACCAGAATTTAGGGATTCACCAAACCAGGGAGGAGGCATGTGGGAGCCTCCCTTTCCAGGCCGAAGAGCCCCAGCCCACTGTCTGCTCCTCAGGCAGAAGCCAGCACCTCCATCCACCTCCCCCTTCTCTGAGCCCCTCCAGGTCTGCTTTAGGCTATAAGTTGGCATCCTAGATACATATGTATATGTGTGTATATATATCCACACACAGAAGGCATTCAAAGGCAGCAAACCACAGATCATGTTTTTTGTTTGTAAGCCTTTTCTTAAGAACCCCCAGGGCTCAGCTTGCTTTGGTGATCATTGCCAAGCTCCAGCAAAGAGTCACATTAATTACTCTGGTTTTCCAAAGCCCTTCTACGTAAGGGGATGGCCAGCTCAGCCCACCCTTTCCAGTGAAGTTCAGTGAAGTCCAGTCTTCTGAACACAAGTACAAAATTTTTCACGATGAGTGTTGTGAAACACTGGAACGGGTTGCCCAGAGAAGTGGTAGATACCCCATCCTTGGAAACATTCAAGGACAGGCTAGATGGGACTCTGAGCAACCTGATCTAGTTGAAGATGTCCCTGCCCATTGAAGGGGAGTTGGACTAGATGGCTTTTAAAGGTCCCTTCCATCCAAAAGCATTCTATGATTCCCTCCATATGCATCAATTCATTTATCTACATTCAATATCATTGCCGTTTTACTGCTGTAGCAAGGCTTAAAAGATGTTGCAATTCTTCAGTTGGCTGTGAACTCAAATTCAGGCAGGCAGTGGATAACTTAAACTCAGCCATCACACTGCTTCCTTGCCACAGGGACTTGTGCTGGGACCCCCGGGGGCCATCCTCCACTGTCAGGGCTGGCCATTTGCTCCCTTCCCTGCTCCCTTCAGTACCCAAGCAGGGAGCCTGCCCACTGTCCCATGGCTGCCTGGCTTCTGTACAAGCACCCAGCATGAGATCAAACCAAAAGCCCTTCAGTGAGCTGGTACAACTGCCAGTGGAACCACAAGGGTAGAAAAGCATCCCTGCAGAAAGGTGTGAGATGGGTATCAGCTGTACAAGACTGTACTTGGTAAAGCTTAGAAACCACTGCAAGAGTGTGGTAAGATGAGAGCCTGGCTAAAACCAACAGCCATGGGGGATGAGTAAGGAAAACCGCATATCAGCAGCTCTGCAGAAAACTCTGAGAAACCGGACAGAAGGAGTTAAAAATCCAAATCTGACAATGGCTCGAGCAAACAGGGAAATGGTGGCATAGGGAACAAGAAACATACACCAGTGCTCTTTGTCTGTTTAACAGCTCTGTGTTAGCTATGTCAAAATAGTTTTTGAAGAGGAGGCAGGTTTGGAGTGGAGCTAGTAGCTGAGCTTCTGCCTGTTAATGAGGGAGAGGGACCGAGGAGAAAGCTGGACAGAGCCAACTAAAAGGCAGACAGATGCCTGGGCAGAGACCTCAGAAGAACAACAGAAGAGCAGAAAAGATGGAGAATAAGAAAGGCATATTCCACCAGAGCAAAAGTTACTTTTCCCCTCAAAGTTGAGGGTTAAGTAACACAACTGAGATTAGGCAAGAAGAGCATCCAGCAAGAACAGTTTCAGCAGCAACTCTACTAGAGATTTATCTGTGATGAATGAGAAAACTCCTGAAGAATTTATCAAGGTATTCAGCAAACCCAAGAGGCAGTTGTGGAAACCAGGTCCTCCAGAGGTCCTAAGTACTACTTCTGTCCACTCCCTCCCAGCTCCGCCTCAACTGTGAAGGTCAGCCTTCTCGCAATGGCCTTTGTCCCCAGTTAAATTCTTCCCGAGAATGTTTCTTTGTTCCCCAATTGCACTATCAGTTACTGCCATGCACACTTGCCCCTACTTGCCCTTTTTGAACTGCATGACAATATTTAGATTTTCCGCATTCTCATAAGCTCATATATGATTTTACATGCTTACTACCCCTACTTACTCACCTGGGTATGTGTTTGCAAGGCAGAACCTTGAATCATTAAGCAGATACTTTCCAGAGACATACTTGAGCTCCTAGTCAAACGTATTATCAAGCTTTGTTGTGGGTTGTCACCCCAACTCAGTAATTCCATGTGAGCTGCAACCAAGACCAACTCCTGTGAGCTTGCATCAGGGCTCATATCTGTGGATTTCCCAATGAGCACCTCTTGGAGACAAAGCTCAAAAGAAAGAAGCCAACGCATCAGTGAAGCCCGTTGTTTTTCACAGCACTGCAGGAGATCCATTAGGAAGAGCCAATACAGCACTGCACAGTCTCACCCAATGTGAAGCTTCATTTAGCACTAAACCTAGCAAACAAAGATATCTCCTTGATTGTCACTAAGCATTTGCCCTATCTGTTGCTGGTTAATGCCAGAGAAGTTACTAGTCCACCTGAAAAGAATGACACAACATGTTCCTACTCCTTCCTCTCCTCCCCCCCATTAGTACTTTTGCTAAGAGGTAAGTTTGTTAATATATCATTAAGTTTCCCTAAGCTATGTTCAAACTCCTTTGTTCCATACTGCTGAGCAAACATAACTTCCCCTACCCTAACCGAAGGGTTTTATTGGCTGCACCATCTCCCATAAGGTCTGCAAAAAAGAAGTCACTGAAGTAGGAGTACACACACAATACATCGTATAGAGAACACATA